TTACCTTCAATTTTCCATACATTACTTGTTCTAGGTAATGAAATTATTCCCTAATAATGGCACTTTGAGGGCTGCTAGGAACATTTGTTGTATATACTGTGATTTCATATTTCTAAAGAAATCAACCCTCTATTTCCTTAAAGAGTTTAAAACTCTAAGATATAGACAGTTTATAAACTTCTGATTGTGATTATGCCTTAAGAAAAGGAAAAAATTAAAACATCTTTAGCTCTGACATGAATCATATATTTCCATCTATAATTACAAAAGAGACTTATAACAAAGATATTTCTAACTAGTCACTTGCAAGCTGCTTTCAGCACAGTTTTTTTTTTTCTCAGTGAAAGCAAGCAGTACCTCCTGGAAAGCGTGTAGTGAATTGTTTAATAAGACTTTTGACAAAGATCTTTCTAACTAGCCACTCGCCAAGAAAATAAGAATTTAAAACTTTCTTCTGAAATTTTGTTTATGGTTAAACTGGCAAAGTAAGGATTTTCTCAGAGAGTTTGGAGGGAAACTTCAGCACCCTCTCTGCCAGAAGAGCATTCCATAGGCCCAAATACTAGAGTTAGAAACAGAAACAGCTTTCTCTGTGTTGCAAGGCAGAGTGCTGAATTGGAGATCAAGGGAACTTTTTTCCTAATCAGTGCTGTGATCTTTTGAAACCACCTTAAACTCGTACATTTTGTAAGCCATAAAATGTAGGGATTATGTTACATTAGGATACAGGTCTCAAGTCCTAGAATTCTAAGTTAGTATCATTCAGTGTTGGTGCTGACCTGGAAGAAGCAAGATCTGTCCTTTTCAGTAGTGGATTTCCAGTGGCCTTTAGATGTAGACCTGGGAGGGGAAAAGGTGGCTGGAGAGAGAACCGCTCATTATGAGGAGGGAGAAAATTTCGACTTTTAGAGCATCTATGAGTTATCTAGAAAGGTAATTACAAAGCATGTCTAAGAAGATTGGAGTAGATGACTTGATCCTTTGAAAATGGGAGAGAATACAATACTTAGTTTCCAGCCATAAGATGAATTCTCAAAGACAAGAAATGCAAGTTCACATGAAAGGTGCGATACGGTGTTATGTGTGAACAGTTGGGAATTCTCTGTCTTGAACTAAAGAGAATGTAGAACTATTTAAGGGCTACAGAACACTTTAGCATAAATCTATCATATAATTTTTATAATTAAGATAGTTCTTTTATTAAAATCTCAATAATGCTTCATCCCTTCATAGTATAGGAAACCAGGGTCGCAGTATCCCCCATGCTCCGTCCGTCTGGCTGTGGGGGTGTAGGGTGGAATCCGGACAAAGTGCCATCTGTTTCTCTCACAGCGTCCCAAGAGCAGCTCTCTCTGGTGTGGCCCAGCAAGGTCATGAAGCACAGTCTCCTTGTTAAGTTCATCTTTGGAGGTAAAGAGAGGAAAAATGCTATGTCACCATGTCTTGCGAAGAGAAGATCTTCAGAATAAACCATTTTCCTCAATAGTTTATTATGAGATCAAATCAAACCTAGAAGCAATTTACAGATAATGCAGTAAAGGCATAACTGATGGTTACTTGCATCATGTTCAGTAAAACCTTCAACAGTGGTGGTTAAGGAATAATTCTTTTTCCACAGCATCATAAAAGAAAGTTTCTATTTGCAGAATTTTTTGAACTGAGGAAATCTCTATTTTTATCTTTCAAATATAAATAGTTTCAGCAGATTGGAATTTTCCTTTAAAGCTTTAAGTCTAACATGGAAACATTTTATATGTGTGTGTATATATATGTATATGACTGAGTGTTCGTTATTTTAAAAAAAAAATAGTGAGATATTTTGTCTGTTTCCTCATCCAGGTACATAAGGGCAAAACATCTGTGTGTCTACTCAGTTCCTCCTTTTTAATATCACAGCCTGTCAAAGACAGAGAGCAGGCGGAACTGGGGTCCATGGCTTTGCATAGCCAGCTGTGTGGTGGTGAAGCTATCTTCTCTGGAGTCCAGGCTGTCTGAATTAAAATTGCGCCTGTATCACTTTCCAGTGTCTAACGTGGGCAAGCTGCTTACTCTTTTTGTGTCTCAGTGTCTCATCTGTAAAATGATGATTATAAGAGTACAAGCATCTTAGTGTCTTTGTTGAGATTAAATGAAATAATCCTCAGAAAGTGCTCACATTGAACCTGCTGCATGGTGGCAGTGCTTTTAGGAGTTGTTGTCAGTCCTTGCCAAAAGAAGGCATACTCTGTGGAACAATTGGAAGAACAAATAATGGAGATGTTAATGAGTGCTAATGGGTTAAGGTTTTACTCAGGGAAATCAGTGGTCAAATGTGTTGAAGGGTGGTGAGGAGGAGAAGCCTACAGAACACGTCAGTCTTACCACATCAGTGGTTAGAAATCTGCCTACTTGTTGTTTGCCTCATGTCATTTGATGGGTGCGAACTCACTCATCTCAATGACTTTAAGAGGGCAGAGGACATTGGGAAACATAAAAATGGGGGCTTGCCGTTCAGTTGAACTGATGTCGTCTCATTCTTTGCTCCACTCATATCCCCACTGTTTTTCTTACAGTGGAATTTCTATTTGATCACTTTCCATGGCTCCCCACTATCTTGTCGATAAAGTCCTAAGTCCCCAACTTAGCGTTCACGGTCCTCGACAATCTGGCCACCAGAGCTCTACCAGACAACATCCACTAGGTCCTTTCATAGCATGCTGCAAACCAGCCAGAAAGAACTGTTTGCAGTCCTCCGCATACCTCTCAATTCCCCCTCCAGACCTTTGCTCATGCCTCTCCTCTCCCTGTGTGGGCATACTACTTGCCCTTCAAGCTCCAGCTCCTATGTCAAGTGTCTCATGAAGTATTCCTTGCTGCTGTTAGCAGGGTGGTCATCTTTTATCTGATAAACTCTTGCCCAATTTTTTCTGTCTAGTAGCTTTCCAATTTTTAGCTGGAATCACAGTAAGAAATATATTTTGCATTGGCGCACATTTCATTCAAACTCACACACCCCCCTAAACAAAAGCTTCGTGAAACAACACTCACTCTGATTATTTGCAACATCACTCTAGTGTTGTCTCTTTTCTCTTTCATTTGGCAAAAGCTCTGCCTGCAATCTACTAAATGGATTTTAATTACTCTTTAGTTGCGTCACAACCTACAGTTTGAAAAACACTGATCTGCACCACACATAAAAAATATCCTTCATTATGTATCGTACATCAGATTTATGTTACCCACCAGATGGAAAACTACTCAAGGGTGACATTATATGGTACATCATAGATCCTTTTACTGTATCTAATCATGCTTTTCATATACGTTACTCCATAAGTGTTTGTGGAAAAAAAAGGAAAGAATGAGGGAAGGGATGAAGGGAGAGAAGAAAGAAATAAGAAAAATATCTCTGGAGATGTTGATTATACTCAGACATTAAGGCTGTTAATATTGAGCAAGTCAACAGAGGCAGATCGTTCTAGTTATTTGCAGGTGAATTTTCTAGTCAAAGTGGTATGTGCTTCTTTGAATAACTTCTTCAACCTCAATTTAAACTTAGAAATTAGCGTTACATCATGGCCTATTGGACAAAAAGAAAGCGAGAAAAAAATGACTAACCCAGAAAAGATAACCGCAAACATGCGTGTCCCTTTTCTCTGCTCAATATTAGGAGGAGGGGGCGGGAGAGACCAAGGGTGTGAAGTGTATCTCCAGAAGTGAAAAAAGCTTTTGATTTCAATTCTGTAAAGTCTGTGAAAGGCAGTTCTGTCATCTCTGTGTGTGCTGAACACATCTATATGTGCTGAATACATAAGCAATTTCTATGTACTGTCTATAAACAAAGTTGGTGCTAAGTGTTAATACTTCCAACCACCTCAGGCTATAAAATGAAACAGGAAATATACTCTATCGAAACATTGATTTTCACTGATGTGCAAGATGATTGGTTTTTCTCAGATTCAAAGAGGAAAATTTTAGATGAAATTTAAATTTGAGAAGTCAGGCTAATGACATACATTTACTGAAATGACATAGCCAGTTTGGGATTTGAACATAACTTTTTGTTATTGAAAATCCACCCTCTTAACTAACATGTTATACTATACTCTATTTATACAGGTGAAGTAACAACATAAAAATAATTCCTTCCATGGGTATGAATACTTTTTCCAAGTTCTTTGTAGGCATTTGTTTGCTGTTTTTTGATCTTCAGTATAACAGTGGGTGTATAGAAATAAGATCAACAAAATAGAGGATTAAAAAGATTATATAAATGCTAATAAATTATAATAATATTATGTAAAACAAATCTTTTCATAGCCCTGAGAATTAAGTCCTACATCACTTTGAAAAAATAGTAATAATATTTCAATGAAAGTTTTAAGAATTATTATTAACTATTGACTTTTTATTGCCAAAAAAAGAATCATAAAAATAAATATATAATATAGATAATAATATATTGCCTTTATTTCTGTTCCTTTGTTTGTTACAACTTAGAGAAATGCATCATTTGAAAATGCAGATTTATGGTGTTTCCATCATCAAAAATTTAAGCATGTTGTAATTGTTGAATTTCCTCAAAATTTATTGTCTTTCTTTGCAATATATATAGAAAATTTTTAGTAAAACATGCACTGCCCAAAGAGTGTCTATTTGGTTATTTCATCTGACAGTATTAATTTAGTTGGCTTAAAAATATTGTTAAATTTCAAATTTACACATTTATTCCTCACTAGTTTTGTCAATATTATTTTGTTTCAGTCTGAACCACAGCATGTTCTTGCCAGCCGTCCTGAAAATTCATGCCACTGGGGAGAAACAAATGGAATCAGTGGATGAATACCACATTCAAGGCTGAATTCATAACAATTAGAAAATTGATTCTAAAGCCATGCCTTCCTGACTAGATTAGCAGCAGGACACATACAGTTTGCTTTATTTAAACATACTAGTCTGTTGATTAGCAAAATAAATGTGAATTTTGATGCAGCTGCTTTAACACTATTTACTTTTTCCAGTTGATGGCACTGCAACCACTCCTGCATTATCACAGTCAACAGTTGCTGCAACAAGAACATCTGTACCAACACCAACCACAACACCATCACCATCTCCTACTTTGAAATCAACCGTTACATCTCCCAAAGGTAGGATTTACTCTTAGTGAAATCTACTCTAACTTTAACAAATAAAACTAGGAGCACCTATATGATTTACTCACAGAAAAATAATTTGGGATCTCCTCTCTATTGTTATGAAGGTCTGTGCTATTTCACAGTTCTTTGGGGTTGAATACAGAAGCCTGAGATCTCAGTGGGCTTCTTTGACCAGAGCCGTTTGGATCATTTCCTGTTTGAGAATGGTCCTATTGTGAATGTTACGTACACAAAGTTTAGTTTTAGAGAAGAAAAAAATTACCATTTCCTAAGTCATAAAAATATCTTTCTAAAGATTCTAGTTCTTCACTTAAGCAGCACAGCTAACAAGGTGAAACTGAATTAATAAAAACTGATCTTGTTGGTTGTATTGGGCTGATAATAGATTTAATGTGTGGGTTGAGTAGCAATATCATCATTATTGTTACCAGGCTGAGTGAGAGCAACCGTACCATGTTTTATGGTTCTAGGTGTCAAAAGGGATTACCTTACCATCCATGAAAAGTAAAACGAGCCATTAGGATCATTTAATTAAAAACCCAAGAAGTTATCAATCTAATGCATACTGCATTGTCCATCCTGGAGCACACATAAAACGAGGTATTTCATTCAGGTCCAGTAATCAATGGAGGGGAAAAATAGAATTGTTTGTTGATCACTTATGGGCAGAAACTGGTTAGAATGCTAAGGTCACAGAAAGACGTGAAAATCATATACCCTAATGGGCAGATGACTGAAATTCCCACTGCTGTCTTTCTTGCCTCTCTGCTCCTCGTTTAACTTTCACTCTAAAACCAAGCTCAAACACATGCTGAGGACTAGTGAGAGCTAGTTCACTGGCTTGAAGGGGGTGATGATTTTAGAGAAAAAGGGTATTACAAATATAGCCCATTATTTATGACATGTTTAATTCTAAGGTGAAACCAAACCAGTTCTCCTATAACTTCTCTACCAAGCCAGGAGAAAGCGTTACCAGTGAGGGCAGCACAGGAGATTTTATTCCAGAATGTGGTACCAACTGTATTTCCAAGCAAGGGACATTCCAGATGACACAAGCGGGAAGCCAGGGCCCATCACGCCTCTAGACAACTCCTGCACACTGTAATTTTTATTTTATTTTAAAAAATTGTCTCAATCCTATGTTGCCAGGGTTTAAGCTTCACTCTCTCTCTATGAGTTGCCAGTTGAGTCCTTGGCATAAAATTGCACTGATTTGGTAAAAGCATATTATTTTGCAATCAATAACATCCCCACAAAAAATACTAATACAGAGAAGCTAGGTACTGACATTTCATGGAGACCGAAAGGGCGGAAGTGGCACGATTCTTATGTTAACTACTTGGAACTTACACTTTCTCAGTGGGAAGATTCCTAGCCCTGCCTACAATGGTCTTTGTGAATAACACTGTACAAATAGTGACACAAGCCCTAACCAACCGCTGCGTTAAATGACCCTGAGAGGGCTGGGCGGGCGAGGCGTTCACACAGAACGGTCATTCGTGACACCAGGAGTTGGTGGCTCCTGTGGAGGGACACAGAAGCACCCTTCTCTGAGGCAAGTACATAGAACACTTAAGATTACGTATATACACACACATTCCTCTTAATTTGTTTTCTTGGGCACTTTTACCGTTTTATATTACCCTAGTACTAAAAACTAAACTCTAGTCTGTGTTCTTCAAAAGTTCTCCAGATAAGTTTTAAATTATTCACAGTCAATTGTAAAAATTGCAATAGGCCAGAATAGTTTTTCTTTTTTAATTTATTATAAAAATATTCAGATGTACGCAAAAGTAGAGTGCCATAATTAATCTCCGTATGCCAGCTCCCAGAATCAATAATTATCCAAATTCTACCACATTTTCTTCATTTTTCTTTGTCTTTTTCTTTCTCCACCCTCCCTCTCTCCCTCTCTGCCTCCCTTCCTTCTCTCTCTTTCTTTTCCTTTGTCTCTCTTTTTATCTGGTTGTCAAAGTATTTTGAAGAGAATCCAAACTTTATGACATTTTTACCCCTGTACGCTAAATGTGCATCTCAAAAAGTATAGACAATTTATTACAAATGTCAAAAAGATTTGCAATAGGACATGAAGAAGGGAAGGCAGGCTCTGACGGCCACAGCTGCTCTGGTCGAGTATGAGAAACAGAAAGTCCAGCGTGGCAGGAGGGATGGGTGGAGCCAACAGGCAGCTGGGGGCCCATAGTGCTTGTAGGAAAATGAGAGAACAACAGAGGAAAAGGAAGACAGAGAAAGGAACTCCCTTTTGCCTGGCTTACTTGATCCCATTTATATATCAAGGGTGTAGGTAAGTCAGGCTATATATACTGGATATTGCCCAGGCTCCTAAAGGCCATGTAATTAACACACAGATAATGAAGACAATGGGAAATTTGTCTCAAATTCTCATATTCTAAACAGTGTATCAGAATGGATGGTTTCTTAATTTCAGGTCTGTGTGGGTGTTTATATTTTGGGGAGTTTTATACATTGTCTTATCCTCCAAAATAATTATTTTAGATTAAACAATAATATCACAAAAGTTATATCTATAGTGAAGTGATTCCTTAATCCCCCTTCCTCATGGCCAACATGGTCACCTGAGCCACAATAAAAGTGTTTACCAAATTGTACCATGGAGAAGCTTCTTTATTTTCATTTTAAGGCTGCCCAATAGAATTTTCTTGTTTAAAGGTCAAAAGACACTCAATTTAATAGTCTTAAGTCTATGTAAAGCACAGAGATTTTCTTTCTCCGGACAACGACAGAAATATTATCATCAGAATAGTGGAAGATGTGCGACCGAGACGAGAATTCTTACAGCCCCGCAGTCCCGGTGGCAGAGGCGATTGACAGGCTGCACCCAGAGCAGGGCTCACTGCCCAGGTTTGCCCAGTGACACCTGACCTCTTTCTACATGTGAATCAAATGCACTGCCCATTTTCTTCGAAGGTCCAATGGCCAGAACCGAATCAACATTTGGCAGACGCTGCATATCATCATCATAAAATGAACTTCTAGGGTACAAAAATAAACCTGAAATTTCATTCTTAAAATGTAGTTATTAATTCAGCTTGGTTTTTTTTTTTTTTTAAAGATTGGCACCTGAGCTAACATCTGTTGCCAATCTTTTTCTTTTCCTTCTTCTTCTCTCCAAAGCCCCCCAGTACATAGTTGTATATTCTAGTTGTGAGTGCCTCTAGTAGTGGCATGTGGGATGCCGCCTCATTGTGGGCTGATGAGCAGTGCCATGTCCACACCCAGGATCAGAACTGGTGAAACCCCGGGCCGCCAAAGCGGAGCGTGGGAACTTAACCACTTGGCCATGGGGCCGGCCCCTCAGCTTTGTTTTTAAAACATTTAATAGTCCAATTAATAAGCTGAATTATAATGCAGGAATAAAAATTTCTAACACTAATGCTAAAAATTTCTTATACTAAATAGAAGTTCAGTTTCAACTGAGTTTTGTAGGGGAGCCAGCTATTTTGGGCCATCTCTTGCATATAGGATGTCAGTTATGGAGATGTTTAAGATGCACTATCTCTCTAGAAAATGACTAAGATAAAAATTATAAAGAATAGACTTTTACAAAACATTCTTATAAATTTTCTTATGTGATTAGTGGGGGAAAAAATTGGTTTGGATACCTCATTTTTCTGCATATTGTTCTTCTTTTATCCGTTGTCTTTAGACTCTTTGTTGAGTTTGAATTGAAGATGAATTACCTGGGATATCTGTGTACATGATTTTTTTGTTTTTTATTTTTCATAGAATTTTGAGGTGATAAAATTGACATTTTGCTTTTAGTTTATCCTCACAAGATATAAAATGTTTATAAATTAAACATTTTCTTGAAACCCTGTGTGGTAAACGGAATTAAACACAGTTCTAAAAGGTAATTTTGAAAACATTATAAATGCTAGTTCACTAAACAATTCTACAGAGAGTATAATTATGATATTTTAATAATTTAATCTTTTATTTTTTGACTCATGATATAATTTCTTACAGACATATAGCTATAGTATTCTCTTACTATTCATATTAAATTCAGTCTATTTCTTGTATTAACTACTTTAAAGTATCTAATCATTGTTTTGTACATAAAATTAACAGAAATCACAATCATCATTAGTTATTACAATATTTTATTCTTACAATAAGCATGCAATTATACTTCGGAATTTTAACCTATTTAGCACATAAGAAGAATTTCACTATAGGTTATATGTAGAATGCTTACCCATGTTTGAAAGTGAATATCATACATAAACAATAAATCCAAAATAAGTTGTGTCCTGTTTATGTTATAGATACTGTTACGCTGATTAGATACAATAATCCTCAGTAAGATCACACAATCACTGGTCACACACAAGTTCAGGAGCACCAGCAATGCACAGCCATTTAGCTCTCCATTTTTCCGAAGACCAAAGTTGAGACTGAAGTCAAGTGGAAGATCTAGGCTGAATACTCAGGCAAAGCTCAGCTTTGTTACATCCTTTCCCCCTCTCAAACGTGAGGTCAGAACAGGTGTAGAAGAACAGGGTCAAGGGCTTCAGAACCCCAAAGACTGCACACATTTGACACTTTTTCTATTTATATTCATTATTACAATATATGTATCCTAATTATTTCCTGTAATCATCTCTATGTCTTGAATTTTCAAGCAATATATAAGACATATGCCAGTGAAACATAATGGGAAGGTGACTCTCAAAATTCAGTTTGCCTATTACTGGTGCCAAGAACCACAGAGGAGTGAGGAAGTGAAAACATAGGTGCCCTATCTGGCTGGAGGGGACACTTTACCTATATCTTTACATCTTCACCTTAAGATGTTGGCATCATGTAAGTGGGCAATGCAAAATCTCAAATCTAGCTTCTAAGAATAAAGCTTAATTTGTAGATTTCTTCTTTTAAAATATAACCACATATGAGTGTAGACTTAGAAAGTCTTAAGTGCTTCATTGCTGTCTGCATTATAATTCACAGACTCTGCCTATCACAGCCATTTCCCACTGCTATAATAACCTAGATGCCCTAGAAGGCAGGAAAGACAGAGGACTGAGCAGTACACAAAACTTTCGCCACCTGCCTGGAGGTGCTTATCCTTCGTGATCCTCCAAAGGTCCTCCCTCCTGGGTTCCTTAGTCTCTTCTGCTGGACAGCTCCAGCAGGTGAGCCCTGGAAACTCTCCTCTGCACTAGAGTTTTAAAACATTAGGTAAACTGTGCAGAGTTGTGTTCACTACTTGAAGCAGGTCTTTGTCCCTTTGCTGGTCCCCATGTCCTGTGTGAGTGCCATCTCATCTGAAATAGCATTTACTAAATGCCTACTGTGTGCCAGGAATTGTTCTTGATACTATTTGGATTAAAAATATGACTAAGAGTTGGATACTGCTCTCAAGAGTCTAGGAGAAAGACTTGGACAGAGTGGAAAGTCAATGACTGTTTCACAAACTAACAAATTAAATAATTATAGGGTTTGAAAATTCCTTTATGATTTTTGTTTATTTGGAAGTTTCATTGTCATAACTAAATCAACAAAATGAAATATAATTCTGAAAAAAAAGGCATGCTACTCCTAGGTCCTATTAATCGGGACATTTTCCCCACTGGTAAAAACAAAGTGATTTTCACTGATTTTTACAATAGTTTTTTTGCATGTTTAAAGATACCCAGGTAACAGTCTGTAATGAAAATTTGCTTTTTGGGCCTATCATACAAAAATGTGTGTGTGTGTGTGTGTGTGTGTGTGTCCTGGAAAATGGAAAATTTAAAGATAGACTGAGGCTCACCCAGCACATTCGTAGAGGGATTTCAGCCCACCTCCAGATGTGACTTACTTTTGTTGATTCCTTGACAGGTGAGATGATATTGTGATTAATAATAATGTCATCTATTTTATCAAACTAGGAACACCTAGCCCAGAATCCTTTAAAACATCTCCACCAACGGTTTCTTCATTAAACACAACAGTTAGCGGTGAAGGTGAGTAATGATTTGTTTTGCCACCATTTTTCTTTTATATATATAATTCACATACCATAATAGCCACCATTTTAAAGTATACAATGCAGTAGTTTTTAGTATATTCACAAGATTGTGAACCATCACCACTATCTCATTCCAGAACATTTTCGTCACCCCCAAAAGAAACCAGTGTCTAGTACCAATGGCTCCCCACCCGCTACGACCCCAGCCACTGGCAACCACTGATCTACTTTCTGTCTCTATAGATTTGCCTATTCTAGACATTTCATATAAATGGAATTGTAAGATATATGATCTTTTGTGTCTGGCTTCTTTCACTTAGCATAATGTTCTTAGGTTCATTCATACTAAAGCATGCATCTATAGTTCAATCTTTTTTATGAAAATTAATATTTAATTGTACGGATATACTACATTTTGTTTATCATTTATTAGTTGATGGACATTTGGGTGGTTTGTACTTTTGGCGATTATGAAGAATGCTGCTATGAATGTTGGTGTTCACGTTTTTGTGTGATCAAGTGTTTTCATTTTGCTTGGACGTATATCTTCCAGTGGAATTGCTGAGTCACATGGTGACTCTATGTTTAACTTTTTGAGGAACTGATTTCCAAAGCAGCTGCATTATACTACATTCCCACCAAAAATGCATGAAGGTATCAATTCTCCAATTTCTAGCCAATACTTATTGTTGTCTGTCTGTTTTGTCATAGCCATTCTAGTGGGTGTGAAATGGTGGCTGACTGTGGTTTTGAGTTACATTTCCCTAATGACCAACGATGTTGAGCATCTGTTCATGTGCTTTTCGGCCATTTGTATATCTTCTTTGGAGAAATGTCTATTCATTTTTTAAAAATTGGGCTATTTGTCTTTTTATTGTTGAGCTCTAAGAGGATTTTTTAATATTTTGGAAGCTAGATCTTTATCAAATAGATAATTTGCAAATATTTTCTACCATTCTTTAGGTTGTCTTTTCATTTTCTTGATGGTATCCTTTGAAGCACTAAAATCTCTAATTTTGATGAAGCAAAATGTACCTATATTTTCTATTGTCATGTAGAGGTGGCAAAACTTTACTTGTCCCCATCTTGGGTTTTCAGCTGGGACTTTTTAACAAAAAGACATTAACAAGAGAAAAGCACACAGTTTATTAACATGTGCCTCACGTGAGACACCTAAACAAAGAGTGACTCAAAAAGGTGGCTTAGAATTTCGGCTTATATAGCATTGACAAAGAACGATAAATATGTAGAGAAATGACAGGACAAAGGAAAGCAGTTTAGGCTTCCAAGGGCAACAAACTGAGGGAAGGTAAATATATGGAAAGAAACTAGTGAAATAAAGTTTTCGTGCACATTCCTCTGGTGTCTTCTCTGGCTCATAAGAGTCTGTCTCCAGTAAAAGGAGAATTTATTATATCCTGCCTTTAGGCAGAGCTTTTTCTGCATTTGCTTCTTCTGAATTGCCTTCAACTTAAAATGATTTTTATATGGAAGAGGCATATTGTGAAGTGACGTATTCTGGTTTCATTCAGTCCCTTGTGCAGTGGGGTCAAATCTAAGAAACTGTTGCTCAACTCAGGGTCACAAAGATTTACACCAATGTTTTCTTCTAAAAATTTTATAGTTTTAGCTTTTACATTTGTCTTTGATTTTTATATAGGGTGTTGGATAGACATTCAGCTTCGTTTTTTTGCATGATGTTATCCAGTAGTCCTAATACTATTTGTTGAAAAGACTATTTTTTCTTTCCCCATTTGAATTGTCTTGGCACTCTTGATGAAAATCAGTTGGTCATAAATGTACAGGTTTTTTTCTGGACTCAAATATACTCCATTTCTGTATATGTCTATCCATATGCCAAAATCATACTCTCTTGATCACTGTAGCTTCGCATGAAGTTTTAAAATCAGGAAATGTGAGTCCTCCAGTTATTTTCTTCTTTTTCAAGATTGTTTTGGCTATTCTGGGTAACTTGAATTTCCACATGAAGTTTAGCATCAACTTGCTAATTTCTGTAAAAAGTAATCTGGGATTGTGACAGGGTTTGCATTCAATCTGCAGATTAAATTGTGAAGTCTTGCCATTTTAATAATCTTAAATCTTCTAATCCATGAATACGGGATGCCCTTTGTATTTATTTAGGTCTGCTTTAATTTCCTTTGATAATGTTTATAGTTTTCAGTGCAGAAGACTTGGATTTTTTTATTCAATTCATTCTAATTTATTCATTTTCATGCTGTTGTAAATGGAACAATTCTCTTAATTTTTTTGGATTGTTCATTGCTACTGTACAGAAATAGTTTATTTTCACATATTGATATAGTATCCTGCCATCTTATTGAACCTCATTTGTTGGTTCTAATTTGTGTTGTGTGTGTGTGTGTTTCTTAGGATTTTCTTTATACAAGATTCATCTGCAAATAGAGATAGTTTTAATTCTTTGTTTCCAATCTGGATGCCTTTTATTTGATTTTTCTTGCCTATTTGCCCTGGCTAGAACCTCCAGTACAATACTGAATAGAAGTGGTAAAGGGAGCATCTTTGTCTTGTTCCTAATTATGGTGGAATGCTTTCAGTCTCTCACCATTAAATATCATGCTATTGTGGGTTTTTCATAGATGATCTTTATCAGGTTGAAGAAGTCCTCTTCTGTTACTAGTTTGTTGAGGGTTTTTATCATGCAAGTGTGTTGGATTTTGTCATATGCCTTTTCTCAATATATTGAGATTATTGTGTGATTTTTATCCCTTATTTTATTAATATGGTGTATGACATTAATTTCTGTATGTTGAACCAACCTTGCATTCCTCGGGTAAATCTCACTTGATCTTGGTGTATAATGCTTTTTAATGTTGCTGGATTTGGTTTGTATTATTTTGTTAAGAAGTTTTGTGTCTATATTCATAAGAGATATAAGTTTGTAGTTTTCTTGTGATATCTTTGTCTGATTTTGGTATCAGGTTCATACTAGCTTTACAGGATGAAGTGGGAAGTGTTCCCTTCTCTATGAATTTTTGGAAGAGTTTGTGAAGAAATTAATGGTAATTATTCTTTAAACGTTTGGTAGAATTTACCAGTGAAGCCATCTACTCCCAGGCTTTTCTTTATGAAAGTTTTTGATTACTAACTCAATCTCTTTGCTTATTGAAGGTCTATTCAGATATTCTATTTCTTCTTGACTCAGTTTGGGTAGTTGGTGATTTCCAAGGAATGTGTCCATTTCATCTAGGTTATCTAATTTGTTGGCATACAATTGTTCACAGCATTTCCTTAGACCCTTTTTATTTCTGTAAGGATAGTAGTAACATGTCCTCTTTCATTCATGATTTTAGTAATTTGCATCCTCTTTTTTTCTCTGTCAGTCTAACTAAAGATTTGTCAATTTTATTAATCTTTTCAAAGAACTAACTTTTTATTTTATTGATTTCTCTATTGCTTTTCTATTATCTATTTTATTTCTTTCCTCTCTAATCGTTATTATTTCTTTCCTTCAGCTTGCTTTGGGTTTAGTTCACTCTTCTTTTTCTAAATTCTTAAGTTGGCGTGGTAAGATATTGATTTGAGATCTTTCTTCTTTTTTAATATAGGTGCTGCTTTTGCTACATCCCATAAACTTTGGTATGTTTTGTTTCCATGTTCATTCATCTCAAAATGTTTTCTAATATCTCTTGTGACTTATTCCTTGATCCCTTGATTATTTAGGAGTATATTGTTTAATTTCTACATATTTATGAATTTCTTCCCATCATGTTTTAAAAAATTATTTTTTCCTCTTCAGTATATTTACTACCTATCACAAAGTTAACCCCTTTAAGCATCCAATTTTAAAATTAAATTAAATTACATTTAAAAAATAAATGGTATGGAGACTATTCTAAACTGTATCATAGATATCTTTGCCTTATTAGGCAGAGCATACTAAGCATGACTTGCAAGTACTTTGCAGTTTCTTCTGAGTACTATTTTTACAATAGTGCATTTGGCTCTCATTTTAGGTAATCTATTATCATGTTTAAAAGACTGTTTTAAAAATACTATTTAAATGTTATTATTTAAAGATGGAGAAACTGAGTTTCAGAGAGATTAAATGACAACAAAAAAAGGACAAAATTCGTAATAACAATTTAGAGTTTGAAACCTGGTCCTTTAGCTTCAAACTTTTCTCTCCACTTAACTAATTCATAATCAACTATTTCTTAATGAATTTGTGTTATTATTTTAATCTCAATTATTACATTTGGCTATTAAATAGTGAGCCCTTCAAGTATTAGCAAAACTTATATGGCATTTTTTTCTTCCTGCACAAAATGATCACCAAGTTCTGTAACTTTTGCATTTCTTTTCTATTTTTGGTATATGTCTTTGTTCTTTCCCTGCTTTCAAAGTATCCCTTTAGTGAGATTGCTGGTCTGCTATGGATGGTTATTTCTTTTAAGTTGCTCCTTTAAGTGGAAAACACATACACACAAAACAAACTTGTTAGAATTGTGTTTAGAAAAGAGTAAAAGTAAGTCCAGGGGAAAGGCCATTTTTGAGTATAGTGTAGGAACATTATCAGCATATGAATTTCACAATAACAGTAGATCTTGTTATTTCTGCCTACTCTGACACTCTTCATCTTACTTTTAGTGTGGATATGCAAGGTTACCATTGTGAGACCCTCGTTATTAAGTTAAGCAATTATTAATCAGCAGAGACATTTCCCTATAAAATCTCATGAGAAATCTGAAATACCAATATACCAAACAATAGAAGTTGAACTGCTCAGCTTGAGGCAGTGTTGGGGTGGTGTGTGTGTGGACAGAGTGGACTTCTACCTGTTTCTCTGACCATGAAGCCTAGTCTGTGAGGCACCCCACTGAGCCCTTAGAGTATCAGCAGAGGAGCTAAAAATTCCTGAAACAATGGTATTGTCATGTTGATTTAAATTCCATTCACAGTAAAATATAACATCAGTGTACATTCTATGACAAGAAAACAAACAAAGCAATTCTTTTTCACCCACCGCCTGACCTGGGAGCCACTTGATTGGTGCTTGTGAACTCTGGTTTTCAAAAGGGGAGCTCAAATGGTCCAGAAGCTTTTAAAATCCCAATGAGCACTGTTGCTAATTATGCACTGATACCTAAGAACTTGTGAGCAAGTAGGTCTGAGACAATAAAGGAGAAGCCCCTACCAATATTTGGTCTGACTCCAAAAAACACTGCTAAATAGATTCTAAGGAAGTGGAAAGTCAACATCTGTTTGTTAATGAAGTCTCTAAGAAAGAGCAGAGAGATTGAAAAAGAATTCCAAATTAACAGGCCTCTCTGAGGTCACCAAACTATCCCAACCCACTTGATTTCTGCAGTATATATGCAAACAGCCACCCTAAATATAGGTATAACTTTATTCCTAGCCTGGGATCAGTCCCACATTCCTATATGAACCTACCTTGATAAACTGAGTTAGCTCGTGGATAGGTCTGCAGACACCTACGCATCTTGTTGACCATGGCTACGCAGCAGGGAGCTCGGTAATCTGCTCTGGCTCATTTTCTCTGGGGTTATACCCAGGTCCTGGTTGGTTTTGCAGGAGGGAGAGGATTGATAAACATGCAGTTCCAAGGGGTCCTTAATTCCTAACTTAACCAACCATCTAAATAATATGGGGGAAAAAGGAAATATAGAATTCATATAGAAATAAAACTCTCTCCTCTTCTTGTCTCCCACTGAAAGCTGTAGTCCTGCTGTACCTACATTCCTCCACCTCCACCATTTGTTCTCTTCAGAATATTTGGGTCTTCCTTATAGCCTGCTTCCGTTATCTGAGTTCTTCTTCCTCGGGAGTGACAGACTGGAGGAAAGGTAGTCTTAAGTTCTCCTAGAATTGTTCAAGTGTTTGGCCTGTGCTCTTTCACATCTTTTTTTTTCTCTTGGGCTTAGCATCTAAACTTCTTTACATCCTGGGGTATTGCTTTCCACTCCGAGGGAGGAGATCAGAAAAATCTGGGCAAAACCTTAACAAGTTTCCAGGGGCTGGCCCCACGTCCGTGGTTAAGTTTGTTACACTCCACTTTGGTGGCCCAAGCATGGTTCCCGGGGGTGGACGTACACCACTTGTTGGTGGCCATGCTGTGGCGGCAACCCATATACAAGATAGAGGAGGATTGGCACAGATGTTAGCTCAGGGCAAATCTTCCTCAAGCAAAAAAAGGAAGCTTGGCAACAGATATTACCTCAGGGTGAATCTTTCTCAGCAAAACACCAACCCCGCCCCCCCAAAGAAAAAAACCTTAAGAACTTTCTTTCCAGTCTTTGCCACTGCCGACACATCTCCCCAGGACTATTTGTAGAAACACTTAGGCTCCTCGCAATATTTCTATGAGTAGCTCTTTAATATTATGCCAGAAGTCACTTAATTTAATTGTTTGTCCCAGACTACCCCGAGTATGTCACGGGTAAAGAATTTCTATGCATCTTAAGTCCATAAAATGATCCCTGAGAATGGAGGTCCTTGGGCAATTGCTTTAGAAAATACCACCCTCCTAGGGTTTTACAAAGCACAGTAACATTTTTCTAAAATCTTAGTAATCCTAACACAAAGACATCCGTTTGACTTTTTAAAAAATCTATGCAGCTCCAAATAATTTGACTATGCAAATGTGTTTTTTAAACATAAAACCGAATAACATACCACAGTGCCAGTGTTCTTAGCTTATGTTTTAGTAAATGCTAACTTTGTCAAAAAATCGCTTACCCCATAGTCTATTTCTGAAGACAGAGTGACCAGACCAGAAGCTTTTGCTCTGTGTGTTAGATCAAGCCATAGTGCAATTGAAATCATTTCATTCCAAAAGAACAAATGTGCTTAATCCCCTTCCTTGAACAGTTCAGCTCCAGAAGCCCTCTGTCTCAAATCAACCTTTTGTAAACATGCCTTAAATTCCTGATATAATTAATGTCCACATTTATTGCTTCCTCCCAAAATATTCAAAATGATTCTCACTTTAATAATTCCAAGACAACTATAAAACAGCCCCTCTGCCTCATATGCATTCTGCTCAATTCTAGCCAATGGGCCTCACTCGAGGATTTGGTTGGAGTCAAGATCTCTTCTCTGCACTTTCGCTCTGTATGGATGCTGCTCTCTCCAGCACCTCTTGTGTTAGATTCTCCCTATTCCAAGTAAAATATGGTTTAAAATTTCTTCATATTTTGTCCTTCATTCATTCCACCTATGCCAAAATTCTGAGACTTAAAAGGACATGAATTTCAAAAACACAAGTTGATGTTGCAATTTAAATATTATTTCTCAAGCAAAATACTGTTTGTGTCAAACCTAATACATATATTATTACCTAGACTTGCAGTGTAATTTGTGGCTTTAGACCAAAGCAGATACATAGTGTTATCTGGGGGAAAATGGCCAGACAGAAAAACCAAAAGAGCAAATCATATAAGTTTAAAGAGAGGCTTTAAGATTGGTTTCATTTTTGTTTGAGGTGTCAATCACTTCCAGGCAGGAGTCCAGAATCTACTGTGTGTAAACCCAAAGTGCAATCAGGAAAATTTTCCAAACATGATGTCAATACAAGACTAGGATTCTTATATCTTAATAAACGTCCATCACCCATTTTCTTCTCTCCTGAGACTAAGATTTGAAACATTTCAGTATACTAATGAAATTGGAAAATTTGTGGCTGTGGCAGCATTAGTATTCGCATCTTTCATCCTATTCATTTTAGGTCCACCATGTATATTTAAATATATTTTGATTACCTTTAAAACATTCAAGATTCCTTCCATTACCTAACTAACACTGTGTAGTAGATCATCTGTCCTGAATTGACTGCAGGCTCTAATTCTACTCTCATTTGTGAAGTATATTTCACATTATTAATAGGCAATTCTCTAAGCAAAATCTGAGGCATTGTATCCCCAGTGTTTCCATTATTCTGCTCTTCTCTTTGTATTTTTCTGACCTGGAAGCTCCCCACATCTTTCTTAGCCATATATTCTCTTTTCCATCACCAAGACTGTTGGAGCCTACTCTATACTGAGGGATCTTTAGGCCATCAGGATAGCTCTTTCATGGTTTCCAATTTTAGCTCAGCAGAAAAATTCTTCTCTAAAGATTTTCTGATGTTTTCCAAGCATATGTTCTTGAAGTTCCAGTGAGAAGCAAAATCTTTACCCCTACACATTTCTCCATCCTCGAGTGTTGAGATTCTGCACCATAGGTGAACTTTCGTACTTCTATGTTATCACAAACATCAATTTCTTCTTTCCTGCTACAGTAAGATATTTCTTTATTTCGTCAAGTAACTCCCTCTCAATACTTCAAAATGCCTCTGAAGTTTGTGTTCATTCCCACTCTTTCCTTCTCAAATGTGGTGTTAATGCTGTAGCCTATATTTGAATCTATATTATATATTTTTTGCATACCAATTCCTGAGGGTTTTTTTTGCCTGAAGACATATTTACTTCTATCTATGAGATCTTCTTGCAAACTGTCAACTTCTCCAGCATGAATCTCTCAACTTCACTAAGAATTTGCATTACATGATAGATGCTTGCTGCCATAGAATGGAAGCTGATTGGCGCTTCTGAAAGACACTAGCAACTCAGGCTTCCAGCCTACTTTGTGATAGGAATCTATTAAACTGACTTGTCCCCATCCCCAGCTAATAAGGTATCTAGTTAACACTAAGCATGCAGTAACTGGCCTACCTGTCTTTTCTTTGCTAATTCAATGTTTGCCATGCTGAACTTTGAAAAGACTGAAGGGCATTTATCATTTTGTTTTTATAATATTTGTGCAAATATGGATTGTTTCAATTAGTCATATTCCAATGTTATTTTTGAAAGCTCAGCTTATATTTCCTTTGTTGTTAATCTTCGTGGGTTTTTTTTTTCAAAAAATGAACTAAGTATAATTAATAGTTTATTCTACGTACTTCCTGTTATCCCGCTCCTGCTGGCTGTTCCACCTACGTGAAAATTCTTTCCCTGGCAGCATAGGAACCATGGCATCATCTTCAACTACTACCCCTTCTTTACCACTCCCTTTCTGGGGTAGCTGAGTGACTAATTTTTGCATCAGAAAAGCTTGGATTCAGATCCTGGCTCTCTCCTGTTAAAGTTTTGTGACTGTGGCGAAATTATTTAACTCTTGTGAGTCTTATATGTAAAAATTATGATCATAATTATTACTTAATTTATAAGATTACTGTTATAAGCAAATGAAATAACCTATAGCAGGCATATAGGAGAGTCTGCTGTCCTTCCATTTTCTTTAATGTAATTAAGTGGATCAACAAAAGTAGACATCAAACTGCTGGATTTCTAAATCTTGATCAGAAGATTTTCAATAACTAGTCTTCAAGTTGTAACTGATGTTATTATTAATAGTAATGAAACTATCTAGTGATTGGTTACATTCCTAATGGCTGTGCATTCTTTTTACATAATTAGAAGCCACAACCAGTGTCACGAAGGGGGAGTTCATCACTACAAATACAACAGTTACAAGTCTTCCAGTTTCTGATGCTGTTTCAACATTACAAAGTTCCCACAACAAGAGTAAGTATAAGAATTTGTGCTGAAATGTATGTATGGGAAACTAGCGTGTTGGAGAGAATTTGACTCAGAATGTTTTTCAACCCGCAGCTACCAAAGAACCATGCCCCACCTATATTCTCTCCTAGACTCCACCAAGTGGGACAATCACTTGACAACTTTGCTTTGTACGCTGATACTCTGTCCCTTCATAGCACAAATGGGTGGGCACCAAGGAAGATCAATTCAAGGTTAAGCCTATGATGCTGCCTGGCACAAAAGGTGAGCTTGGCCAACCAATTAGACAACTTTGATGAAATGAGAAAATTCTTAGAAAGAAAGAAATTTCCAAAACTAACTCAAGAAGAGAGGAAGTCTGAAAAGACCAAGAACAAAGACATTGCATTAGAAATGTAAAATGATCCCATGAAGAAATCTCCAAGAAGGATGGCTTCAATTGTGAATTCAATAAAATATTTTCAAAAGAAGTAATATCAATTCTTCTCAAACCCTTTCAGAAAGTAGAGGAGGAGGCAACACTGCACAGGTAATTATCTGAGGCCAGTATTATTCTGAGAGAAAAGCTAGAAAAGAATGAAAAGAAAAAACAAGTAAAGAAAACTGCAGACCAATATCATTCATGAGCATAGATGCAAATAGCCTTAAGAAAATATTAGCAAACCAAATTTAGAAACATATAAAAGGGATAGAAAACATGAACAAATGGGATTTATCCAGGAATGCAAGTTTGGTTTAACATATAAAAATCAAGTAATGTCATACACCATATTAGTAGAATCAGTAGATGCAGAGAGAGCACTTAACAAAATTTAAAATCCACTCATAAATAAGACTTTCAATGAACTAGAAATAAAATGTAACTTCCTGAAACTGATAAAAGACATCTATAAAAAAGCATACAGCAAACATCATATTTAATAATGAAACACTTCATGCTTTTCTCTTAAGATTTGGAACACAGGAAAGATGTCCATTTTTACCATTTCTGTTCAAAATTATAACCAAAGGTTTTAGATAGTGCAATAAGATGGTAGCTAGATGGCAAGATAGGTGGACAGGCAGACATATCCATTTATCTAGATTGGGAAAAAGTAAAACAGTTTTTCTTAGCAGACTACACCATCTGTGTAGAAAATCCAAAGAATCGCTAAGAAAATTACTAGAACTAATAAAGAGTATTTCATATTACAGGTTACAAGATATACAAAAATGAATCATATTTCTATATGTTAGCAATGACAATCCAAAAATAAAATTTGAAAATTAATGCCTTTCACAATAGCATCAGAAAGAATAAAATATAAATTTAACAATAGAAGTGCAAGATTTTTACAGTGACTACAAAACATTTCTATGAGAAATTAAATACCTAAATAAATGGAGAGATGTTACATATTCATGGATTGAAAGACTCAATATTTTAAGATGGCAGTTCTTCCCATGTTGATAAATAATTGATTAATCTAGTCAATGCAAACCTTATCAGAATCATAGCAAGATTCTTTTTAGAAATTTATATGCTGATCCTAAAATGTATATGGAAGTAGAAAGGACATAGAAGAGTCAAAATGCTTTTGACAAAGAAGAACAAAGTTGGAGGACTTACACAACCCATTTTCAAAACTTATTCTAAAGCTATAGTAATAAAGACAGGGTGTCATTGACATAATGAATATTAATAGTAGCATTATTCATAATAGTCACACTGAAAACAATCCAAAATGTCCATGAACTGATGAAATGGAATATCTCATTGGATTTTCCATTTGGAATGAGTTTGGAATATTCCAAAACATGAGATATCCATACAATGGAATACTGCTCAATTTAAAGGAGCAAAATACTAATATATCCTGTAGCACTATAAACCTCAGAAACACATGCTCAGTGAAAGAAGCCTTTCACACAACACAACATATTCTATGATTCTGTTTACAGGAAATATTCAGAATGGATATTTTTATAGGGACAAAAAGCAGGTAAGTGTTTGCCTAAAGCTGGAGGTGGGACTGGGGATTGACTGCAAAAACCTCAAGCAATTTTTTGTGTTGATGAAAATGTTCCAAAACTGGATTATAGTGATGTTGCACAACTATAGATTTACTAAAAATTCTTGAGTTGTATACTTAAAATGACTACATTTAGTGTGAATTTCCTTATAAAGCTTTATTTAAAAACAAAGGAAAAGGTCTGGCCCAGTGGCGTAGTGGTTGGGTCTGTGTGCTCTGCTTCAGTGGCCAGAGGTTCGTGGTTTCAGACCCCGGGCATGGACCTACACACCACTCATCAAGCCATGCTGTGGCACCATCCCACATACAAAGAACAGAGGAAGATTGGCATGGATGTTAGCTCAGGGACAGTCTTCCTCACCAAAAAAAGAAGAAAGAAAGAAAAGAAGAAAAGAAAATGTTGAACAAGGCCAATTAAATTTCTTTTGTGGGTAATCTGAACTAGTAAACTCAAACAAACAAACAAAAAATGATTAGCTGTGGGAACTGAGGCAGCAAGATTTTAGTAAAGTGAGTCTGAGACAGTCATGGTGATCCCTGTGTATGCCTATGGCATAAGGAAGTAGATATTAAGAGTAAGTAGAGTTGATAGAGAAGAAGGGACAGAATATGTGGGGAGATGAGAGACCCTATGAACAAGATTAAGTTGTTCATGAGAGACAGAGAGAGGAGCAGGAACTATAGCTCCCCTGACTTGTGACAGCTTTCCAATTCCAGTCCACATGTATCTTCACAGAAAGCACTTCCCACAGCCTGGCTTCCATGATATGAAGTAATCTGTACTTCTAGTCAAAATATCCTGACTAGGAAAGTGAGTGATCTGCCATAACAGCCTTCTCAGATACTGTTCATTATAAGTAATGGATGCCTTTTGGCATGTCCACAGTCCTTAATAAGAAGCAGCTACGAATGATTCATAGTCTCCAAGTCTCTTCTTGGGAGACCTCTGAGGTAGGAAGAGATGGCGGGCAGGAACTGTGGATGTCCAAGACCCAGTCTTGTCCAGAAACACATCAGGAACTTTCATTTTCTCCATTTTTATTCTAATCATCTTAAGCGCAACATAAAGAAGGTTATATAGAAGGAGTCAAATTTCATATAATAATTGTAAACTAATAATTTTATTTAATGAGACGATCACAACATAGAGGAATTTGAAGAGTCATTTCCCCTTCATATGAATAATATTTCACTGTGGTAATTTTTTGGCTTCTGATGAGTAGAATCTACTTTGTAGGCACAGTAGGTCTGAAAGGTACCTTTAGCCAACTGAAACCCCATCCATCACATAACGTGATTGCCCTGAATACAAACAAGAATAAAAGTAAACATGCATCTGCAAAATGTGTAGCACTTGAAGATTAAGCTCAAATAATTTGCATTCTGCACTAACACCCACCCATTCAGTGACTGATGATGAAAATGTCATTGAGGGAGCGTGGTTTATTAAAGTTAGCACTTATGTAGAAGTGTGTGGTCAGCCCCATGAGTCACTTAAGACTTAATTTTACTTTGATTCATGCAGCAAAATGCCTTCTGCTTCTCAGTTTTGGGGACTATTGTATTTATTTAGCTTCTAAATACAGTTTAAAGTGGCTTTCTTCCAAGTAGTTTTAAAAAAATACACCCACAAAGCCATTTCTTGAAAAATGAAACACCCTGGAAAGCAGGATAATGAAATAAGGGTATTTACTGCTTCCCTTTGCATTTGCAGATTGATTAACCAGTTCTATACTAAGTCCTTTAGATATTTTGTTGTAAAACTCATTCCTTGGGCAGCCATCGCTCCCCAGATTTCTCTCGTTACCCAAGGTGTTTAGCATGGTCCCCACTTGATAGAATGAGCTTGCACACATTTCCCTTTGTGCATGATGGAACTAGGAGCCAGCCCAGATTCCTGGTGAGCAGAGCAATGCTCCCCTCCATCTCCATCCCTCACACATGGCAACATTCAGATTTAGTGGAGCCAACACAGAGCGACAGAAAGAGAACAAAACCATCTACTGGTAGGGGACGGTTGAACACTGAAGATTCATTCCCCCCTTACACATGTAGGCACTGGGTCCTCAGATGCCACTGTGGCATGTCATCTCAAGTGCAGACTGGCTTTAGAGTAGAGGACAGTTAGTGAAGTTTATTGCTTTACTCCCTAGAAAGGTGGAATGTAGATCAAAAAAGAAGCATGTCCTCAAAACATCTCTTTTTAATTGTTTCCCATTCTCTCAAAGTAGTATGTATTTCTCCTGTTTTACTCTTTTATTCTGCCTGCAGAAGACAAATTTCTAGAATCCTAGAATTTTTATGGTAGAAGTCCTCATGAATTTAGTGTTCTGATTTTATAGTTAAAGAAATGAGGCCATTTGGAATTAATCAATAAATTAATTTAGTCACTAAAAATCTTTTGGAGGGCATCTGCATGCCTGTCACACCTCCCAGCCTTTGGGAGTGGCCAGCATCCTCTGGTTCCATGGCTTGTAGATGCATCACTTTAATCCCTGCCTCTGTCTTCACATGTACCTCCTCTGTACCTCCTCTGATGCTGTCTTCTCTTCTCATAAAGACACTTGTATATAGGACCCATCCTATTCTAGAATGATCTCCTCTTGAGATCCTTAACTAATTATGACTGCAAAGATCCTTTTACCAATAAGGTCACATTCACAAGTTCCAGGTGCACATAACCTTTTCATGGGGGAGGGTCACCATTTAACCCACTCCAGACCAAGTCCTGAATCTACCTTTACTGCACCTACATTCATCATCCATTCATCGTCATTGTCTATATGCAGGATTACTCCTCTGGGCACAGGGGTGTGGGTGGGGCGGCAGGGGGTGGATTCAAAGGAAATGTCAATCACAGGAGTCCCCACTCTCTAATATCGAAATTGTAAAGGGATTGAGTGCAAAACTCTGTTGTAAAACTACAAATTTTCTCTTCTTCCTGAGTTCCCTATTTCTGCTATTGGCTTAAAATGTGACTCTCCCTGAGTCTAG